CCATATATCCCGGTTCACCTCATTAACTAGAAAATATGAGTTACTTGTAGAAGAGTAATGCTATTGTTTGACCACAAAAAATTAGTCCATTCCAAGTGGAAGTGCGGGCGTGCCAGGATTCGCGGAGAATCCAATTAAATTACACTGATCTTCTTTGTTGTAATACATTTCCATCCTTGTATAGATATTGCATTTTATGGCAATAACCATGTATTTTAGGACTAGAATTGGAATTTAAAAGTTGTAAAATTGCTAACATCAGTATTTTTCATCATTGATCATGTTAAACGTTATCGGGTTAAAAAATGTAACCTCATTTAATTGGTCAGTGGCAAGTCAACAAGATAATGTTTACCTTAAAACTGCCTTTTTCTTAAATTAGAAAATGTAACCTCATTTAAACATGTAACCTCATTTAAACGGACACGGGTATGACATGACACGGATACAGTGACATGACAAATTTTAAAAAAATAAAACACATACACGACCGGAGTACGCCTATAAAATTGTATATATATATATTCAAAATCCATAATATCATAAATCTAACCTCCCCCACAAAAATACTGCAATAAAATAAATACATTAATTAAGAACAAAACAAAGTTATCAACAACTTTACTGTTTACATTTTACGCACATCCACAAATATAATTGTTCTGATTTCTCTATTTTTCTTGCTACGATCTAAAAGTTTATTTAATTTCAGTACTGAAATGAATGAATCAAATAAAAAAAATAAACATAATGGAATCATAAAATTTAATAAAAGTAGAAGTTCAGAATTTCAGACAAAAGAGTCAAAAGAGTTAAACTTCTAAAATTATATTAGGTACCCCATTTTTCGTTTACAAAATTACAAAATATACCCCGCCGTATCTGGTACGTGTCCCCTGCGTGCCCCTGTCATGTCCTCCGCATATCCCCGCGTGTCCGTGCTGTGTCCACCCTGTGTCTAATAAAAAATAATTTCTGTACACTTCACAAAAGTGTCGAACACGTGTCCCAGCTTCCAGCTTCGGACACGCGTGTCCATGTCGAATACGTGTCCGACATTGGTACGAGATCTTAGGAGGGGTGTTCATGCTTCATGGCCTAACACTAAATAAAAATAAAAACATAAAATACCTAATAACAAAAGAAAAATAATTCCTAGAAACTAACTAAAATTAAAATTTGTATAAAAAAAAATATAATATATATATATATATATATAAGTAAAATTACTAGCTAGATAAAATTATCTTACATTACTTTCTCCTACTTTTCTGGCAAAGAGTTGGTGGCTACTTAGTGGGCTATTGGAGTCACATGGTGCAGTTTAAGACAAGGAAACGAGTTGCCACTCTTGGATGATATAATCTCTCTATCACACACATTTATTTAGAATACATAGATGTGTAGGAATTTTAGTTTATTTTTTTATTTTTTATGTGGAGGCATAATTGTTGGTACATAGCAATGACAAATGCATAAAAGATGCATATAAGACAGGACAAGTTGTGGGATTTCTAAATATATCTACGTGGAAACTAATTACCGCCAGCTGATATATCTACGTAGAAGGTAACAATTAATGCTATTTTTGAAATTCTAGGAATATAAAGAAATGATAAAAAAAAAACAAAAAAAAACAAAAAAAAAAATAGGAAAAACCCAGAAGAAACAATAGTGTATGTTTTTAACACTCACTCAATTAGAGATTTGGCAAGGGTAAAAGTAAATTTCTTTTTTAGAAGTTTTGAAAAGGTAGAATTAAAAAATCAAATAAAAAAAGTATGAAATAAAAACATAATTTATTAGTTTCAATTCAATTCATGTTCATGAACAAGTAATTGATTAGTGAAGTCAAATCCGTATACTGTTTGGCGGTTCTGTTTGTATAAACTATAATGAGATTACACAAGTTTGATTATATAAGATTGTGATCAAACAACTTGCCTTGAACACATTTTAAAAATAATTTTATAATTTTGACAAGTCCTTATTTTTAGATAATGGAGTAATGAAAATACTTCTTCAATTTTTCTTTTTTTGCTTTCATGGATAGATTTCTTTCTTGGCCTACCAAAATAAATTAAAAAAAAAAAAATCTTTCCACTCCGCTGTTTTGATGGATATTTCATTCTTTTGATACTATATATCATATATAACTTCATCCAATACACTAGGATCATAAGAGCTGTGTAATCATAGTTTCAAACTAAAATCACAAAAGAGAAAATCTGTCCTTTGATGAAATTTCCCATAAATTATTTGAAAACATATTCCTTTTTTTTTTTTCCCTGGGTAAAATTTGAAAACATATTCTTTAGATATCCTTAGAAATAATTTTGCTCAGATGTATATTTGTTCAAAATGTATTTCCATGAGTTGCATAGTTGTGAATCATGAATCACTTTTCAATTAAATATTCAAGAGTTCTATCTAATAATATTCTTAGAGATTTTTATATATTTATTCTCTTTGTAAATAAGCTCTTTTCTAACTGCAAAATCTCCAATTACGTCATAGAATGTTCTCTGTCACCTTAAGCTACAATTTTGTATCCACCTTCAACTATCCAACCATTTTAGCCAATCACATCACATAACACGGTTAAATTTGAATTAAGAGAAATTATTTAATGATCTTAACCATTTATATTTAGAGATCAATTCTAAATAATAAATTAAAATCAATCATCTACCAGCGCTTTTGTCTATCACCTTAAACTAAGTGCCAAATAGACATATTTTTAAAATACGTGCCCGCCTCAAAAGCACTTCAAAGTTCAAACCACCGCTCTATCAAAGTTGATCTATCTCTCCTAGTCGATCTTTCTCAGAAGCATAAGTGATAATGAAATAACGATACAACAGATGATGAAGTCTAAACAGAATCACAAGTTATAACAAAATTGTAACGCAATAGCTAATGAAATTGACAACAGAAACCTCACAGCCTTGCTGCAGCTGATGAAATCCAACAGAAACACAATTCACGGCAAAATGCAGTGTCAGCAACTTAGATTCTCACAACAAAAGACTACATTAATTGGGCTTGGTAGCGAGGTATAGATGGATTAACAAATTTATATTTAGTTAACAAGAAATACCAATCTATAATATACTAATCTACGAAAAATAATGTCAACCTAATAATATTCGATCTTGAAGACATTAATAATATTACAAGTTTAAGTTAAACAACAATTAAAGACGCTCAATCCCACCATTGATGATGCAGTAAGAATGAGGCTCTTTTCAATAAATAAAAAAATTGTTCATACCAATTTGCGAAGAAATAGCGTCTACCAACCTAACCAGATCCCTGCAATGAGCCTTTTTGTTGATGAGTTCCCGCCCAGGTCTAATGCGTTGGAGGAGTATGGTAAATGGTCGCCGCATTGGGCCTTATGACATAGACTTGTGCTGAAAAAAAAAAAAAAAATCATAATGGGTGACTAAATTAATGAAAACCATAATAATAGGAAGTAGGAAAAATACAATTCCATAAGAATGAAGGCTTCTCTTTTCTTCGAGATTTTGAAGAAGGTGAACGTTAATACTATTTTTGAATTAGGAAAAATTATTACGTAGTCCTCATCATTGATATTTGAAGATCAATTCTAAAAGATAAATCAAAACCAATCATTTATAAGATTTTTCGTCAATCACATTAAACTAAGTATACATGTCTAATCCACGTCTCAAAAGCAATTAATTGTCCTACGTCCTATCACATTTATTCCTCCGGTCTATCTCTTACAGAAGCACAATAATGAAATTATTGTAGTTGATGAAGGGTTAATAAAAGTACAAGTTACAACAAAATTATAACGCAATAACTGATAAAATCGACAACAGAAACTTACGATCACACTGTAACTGATAAAATCCCGACAGATACACAATTCACCACCAAATGTGCTGTCAGCGACTCAGATTCTCACAACAAAACACAAATCAGCTGGGCTTGGTAGCGTTGCATGGATGGAGTAATAAGACATTAATAATATTACAAGTTTAAATTGAGCAACAACAACAAAACACGCTCGATCCCACCATTGATGATGCAGTAAGAATGAGGTTTTTTTCAATCAAAAAATGGTCTACGCGTTGTAGGAGGATGGTAAATGGTTGCCACATTGGGCCTTTTGACGTGGACTTATGCTGGACAATGTGGAATATGTTTTTCTTCGGGTATGCCCAGATTTTACTTGTAAATTCTTCTTTTCTCTTTAATATTATTCTTACTTATTTATCCAAATATATATGTTTATATTGTTACATGACTCATGTAACTTATTTAATACATTTAAATTAAATATGTTACATGACTCGTGTAACTTATTTAATACATTTAAATTAAATAAGTGATGTATCCCATTAATTAATTTAAGTATAAAATACATATATAATGAAAAATAAAATAACATAATGAGTGACTAAATTAATGAAAACAATAATAATAGGAGCAATACAATTGAAGGGTTCTCTTTTCTTCAATTTTTTTTTTTTAAATTTTTTTTTATTTTTGAACTGTTACATGCATTTCACAATAATAATGTTTGGATACCAAGGTTTTGAAGGTGGTGAAGATTTATGTTATTTTTGAAATTCTAGGAACGGAAAGAAATGGAACTCCTTGAGAAAGGAAAAATCCAGAAGAAACAATAGTGTACGGTTTTAAGTTTTTAAGACTCACTCAGTTAGAGATTTGACAAGGGTCAAATGAAATTTCTTTTTTATTAGTTTTGAATAGGTAAAATTAAAAAATCAAATAAAAAAAAATATTAAAAAAAAAAAAAAAGTATGAAATAAAATCCGCGGTATATTGTTTGGCTCTGTCTGTATAAACTATAATGAGATTACTCAAGACTATGTAAGATTGTGATCAAGCAACTTGTCTTGAACACATTTTAAAAATAATTTTATAATTTTGACAAGTACTTATTTTAGATAAATGGAGTAATGAAAATACCTCTTCAATTTTTCTTTCTTTGCTTTCATTGATAGATTTCTCTCTTGGTCTACCAAAATAAATTAAAAAGAAAATCTTTCCACTCCTCCGTTTTGATGGATATTTCATTCTTTTGATACTATATAATATATATCATATATAACTTCATCCAATACACTCATAAGATAACTAGGAAAAAAAAAATACACTCATAAGATCATAAGAGAAAACACTTACAAAAATAAAACAGAGAAAGCAAATCTCTACGTTCTCAAATTGATGACCACCACGCTAACATTGTTTGAAGTATGTCTGGCCAACGCCAGGCTCGTAAGCAGGGCGGAGGCGCAAAAACATGCCCGGTCGGAATTTTCTTGGCCGAAACCAATTTCCGGCCAGTATAGACTGTTCGACTCTGCAGTTGCAGCTGCCCTCCCACGGAGGCACGTTCGAGCAAGGCGGCGGGCCTTCTCGTTCGTTACCACCTCCCAGAGGCCCTTGCTGGCGAGTATCAAAAACTCGTCACCCGCCGTCCGATCTATGACGGTGACCTCAGGTTGACAAATAACATAGGGCTTCAGGTAGTCATCACCTGCACAGACAACACTCTATAAATAAATAAATATATATATATATATATGACAGTATATGATTGTAATAACTAATGGTAGTAATTTCATTCCTACCAATTGCTCTTGACGTGTTTAGAACCCCTAGAACACGGGGGCAATCCCAGGTGATAACTTGTCCTCCGGCAGCTTGGATTCGGCTCAGCTCATCAGAACGATCGGGCTGTATTGCGAAATTAATAGTCAAAATTTCATTGACGACCAGACATACTATTTAAAAATGACGACCAACAAACCTTGTGATCGACAGAGAGAGGCACAGCTTTGCCTTTGCGGAATAGGACAGCTCGGGAGTCGCCACAGTTTGCGACAACGATCTTATCAGGCGAAACCATTGACACCACAGCCGTAGATCCAACGGCTTCGTACACCGGCATTCGAAGCTCACACGGGCAGTTTCCGTCGCCGTCCAGTTCAGCCACCTCTCTATCCATGCGAAAGAAGCTTCGCTCCATCGCGCTCTCCCAATCTGTTAATCCTTCGCTGCTTTCCAACTCTTCCTTCACTAACCCGTGTAATCGATCCATACACTTCACCGCCACCTAAAAAAAATAACACACAAATTTCTATTAGTACCAAAAAAAAAAAAAAAAAAAAAAAAAAAAAAACACCTAAATTGAAACTTCTAAACATAACATAAAATATCATAACGATTGACTTTAAATTATACACTTACATGAGAACATCCATGACCGTCGTAAACACCGAAGTAGTGTAATCCATCTTCTCTCATGCTAAGAGAGGGATAAACGGCCACCGCGTCCTCCATTTCCCTGCTCCTCCCGCACACCGAGGTGAAACCGAACTTTGGATCCATCTCCTTTGTCTTTGATTTTCCGTGAAATTAAGGTCTCAAATTCTAAACACTTTCAAAGGCTACTTAGTCTTGTATCGCACAAAATTGAAGATAAAATTGAGATGCAGAGAAATATATGAAATAGATTAATCACGAAAAGGTCCCATTTATAGAACATTCAAGACTGTTCGGGCAACGATCAGCTGCCCTTCCAATCACGGGCGGGCACTCTTAAAGATATGGATCCACCAGTAAATTAAGTCATGATTTATTATTATTATTATTATTATTATTATTTGGCATAATCAAGACATGAAACGCCAAACTAATTAAAATACACCACGAAATAAAATGTGTTCACTTATTTTTAAAACTATTCACAATAAGTTAGTATAATCCGTTTGCAATGGGGGAAGTGTGAACATAGCGATAACTATTACAAAAATATAATAAAATAAAGAAAAATTACATATAAATGAAGTCAAAGTTCCATGTTTATTTAGAGGCTAAGTTAAAGTTCTATATTTCTCTAAAATGGATTGCTGAGGTGGCACATGATTTTTTACTGTTTAGAAATTGTGGTGCCTAAAATACCCTTCCGCGAAGGTACTACTTTTTCTTCGAAGGTACTACTTTTTTGAACTGAAGGTATTACTTTTTGACGTCCAGGTACCATGTTTTTTAAACACCCGCGAAGGTACTACTTTTTCTCCGAAGGTACTACTTTTTTGAACTGAAGGTACTACTTTTTTGTTAGGGAAGGGCATTTTAGGCACCACAATTTTCTAAACAGTAAAAAACCATGTGCCACCTCAGCAATCCATTTTAGAGAAATATGAAACTTTGACTCAGTCTCTAAGTAAATATGAAACTTTGACTCCATTTATATGTAATTTTCCCATAAAATAATATCTTTATCCTTTAATTATCTACTAGATAACTTTGTTAAGAATACCCTAAAATTATTATGAAAGTAATGACAAATTGATAAAAATAGGCTACTGCAATATCTAAACAAAAATTTGATCTCACTCTTTTCCAAAACCCAAAAATCACTATCACTATCACTATTTTCTTGATTTTAAATGACTAGACTGTCATTTTTTTCTATGCAACTTTTTAATATCGCTAGATTTTAAATGACTTTATTTGAGTGTAATATATATATATATATAGTTAAAGGTTAAAAAGAATGTACAAAACAGCCCCAACGATAGAGGACAACAACCAACAAGAAGTAAATACAAAACCAAAACAAACAAATCAAAAGCTTTGATGGAAAACTACAACAATGTAGACCAATCTAATAGAGTAACAGCAAAAGCTCAGCAGATAGCAGCACCTCAAGTGAAAATGTATGCCAAAATTATGATACCCAGCAATGTAGACCTCGGCTCATAGCAGCACCATCGACAGCACCAGCAACAGGCAAAGCAAGACAGATTAATCATGAATAAGGGCCTGGTCATATGCCAAACTGCAACCTTCCATGAAAAGTTTCTGCAGGTCCTCAAGTCTATTCAGATTCCTTAGGTCTGATGATTTCTTCAGTTTGAATATTGAAGCCAGCCTCCCTCTGATGCTTTTCTTTATCTAGCAGATGATAGTGTTTGGGGATGAGGATGAGTTCTTGAAAGCTCTATTATTTCTCTCCATCCAAAGGAAATAAACAGCAACAGAAAGTAACAATTTGTGCACCAAGAATCCCTTAGAACTCCAATGTGAAGAACACCAAAGGATTAATCACTCCAAGAAGATGGTTCAATATAAATCCTAATTGTGTGCTGAATGAAAGACCAAATGACTTTTGAGAACTGGCATTGGAAAAATAGATGATCCAATGATTCATTATTGGCAAGACAAAGATAACAAGCATTGAAATGGTGTTTGTGTCTCATTGGTTTCCTATCCAGTGTATAAATTCTTCTTTTTATGGCCAACCAGGTGATGAAGCTGTGTTTTGGGATATGGTGTTTAAACCAAATGATCTTGTGCCATGGAAAAATGAAGGTAAGGGAAGGAGGTAGCTGATTGTATGAGCAAAGGGAAAAATTACAATTTGGAGAGGATAGCCATATTATTGAATCTGTTCCAGAGGGAGGGTCTGGTAACTCATTTAACTGAGTTTGAAAATTATGAAAGAATGGGATGTGGGCAAGTGAGTTGGGAACAATCCAATGATCTAAGGAAATTAGTCTGTCAACTTTGACCCTCAAGTCCAGTCGAAGAATTTCCCCATCCATTTAAGTGTAATTACACATTCTAACTGCAACATATCTTGTTAACCATAAATTATCTTATGTAGTCCTAATGGAAATGACCAAAGCTGAAAACATTTTAACAAAGGGAAAATTACATATAAATGGAGTCAAAGTTCCATATTTACTTAGAGGCTGAGTCAAAGTTCCATATTTCTCTAAAATGGATTGCTGAGGTGGCACATGGTTTTTTACTGTTTAGAAATTGTGATGCCTAAAATACCCTTCCGCGAAGGTACTACTTTTTCTTCGAAGGTACTACTTTTTTGAACTGAAGGTACTACTTTTTGGCGTCCAGGTACCATGTTTTTTAAACACCCGCGAAGATACTACTTTTTCTCCAAAGGTACTACTTTTTTGAACTGAAGGTACTACTTTTTTGCACTGAAGGTATTACTTTTTTGTTAGGGAAGGGCATTTTAGGCACCACAATTTTCTAAACAGTAAAAAATCATGTGCCACCTCAGCAATCCATTTTAGAGAAATATGAAACTTTGACTCAGTCTGTAAGTAAATATGGAACTTTGACTCCATTTATATGTAATTTTCCCCTGTTAAAACTTGCCTTCTTTTGTAATTGTCTCCCTACATGGCGCTTATGGGACTTTCTTTACACAAATTCTCGCCCATTTGCGTGCGCGTATTTTTAATTTTGTTTTCCGATTAAGATGATGATGGTACTACTTTTATTTTAAATTAAAAAATTTCAAGGGATTGAAATTTCAAAAATAATTTTCTTACATTAGCAAATTTCTAACTATTTAAGAACATTTTAGTTTTTATTATATATTGACTTTGTTGAAAAGTACACTTATTTTGTTAGAAATATAAATTATTTGAAAACACGTTCTAGGTATAAATTATTTTGCTAGATGTTTGTTTGTCCAAAATGTACATTCCATAAGTTGCATAGTTATAAATCATGAATCACTTCTCAATCAAACATTCAAGAGTTCTATAGATTTTTATATATTTATTCTACTAGTTTCTACATTTTTTGTGTGTTATTTTAAATTTTAAATAAGGCCTATAAATAAGCTATTTCCTAATCACAAAACCGCCAATTGAATCACAAAGTTGTTGGTCACCTTAAACCACAATTTTCTACCCAAAAAATTATTAAATGATTATCATCTATTATCAGTGTTTTCATCAATCATCTTAAACTAAGCGCTGCTTGCGAATCCACGCCTTTTCTTAAAGTACGTGCCAATCCACGCCTCGAGAAGCACTCTAGTATCCACATCCCACCGCCAATCTCTCCCACAAAAAGCTAATGAATTATAACGTCATACTTGATGAAATCAACGACAGTACAGTATTGATAAAATTCCAAACACAATTCTCAACGAAACGCAACGTGAGTGGTTCAGATTCTCATAACAAAGTACACATACGTAAGCGTTGCTTGAGTAAAATTAAATTTGAATGTTTGTAAGGGGTGATAATTTAGATTATTTTTGTTTTTTTAGATCATATCAAGAACAGTACGTTACACAAAAACAATTTGTTATTTAATAAATGGGATTCTATTTTATTTAATAGATTTAAATTAAATAGGTATTGTAAGTTGTAATCATTAATTAATTTAGGTATAAAATGTATATATAATGGAAAAAAATAACATAATGGGTGACTAAATTAATGAAAACAATAATAATTGGGACAATACAAGTCCACACCAAAGAAGAAAAAGAAGAAAAAAAGGCAAATACAATATCCATATTAAATTTATATTAATTAACTAATATAAATATTCATAATGATTAGGTTAAAATAGGTTATTAGTTAATTGGGTTGAACTCACATGATTAATTAACCATGTCTAATCACAGTTAAAGTCTATTCAAATCCAGTAACTTCGTATTTTTTTTTTTTTTTTTTAAATTTTTACTTATAGAGATGTCAACACAGTAGATTTGGATGAACAACTCTTTTCCAAGTCCATCCTATCAATAAAAATATTTTCTCAAACCTAATTCGGTGCATCTTGCATCGGAGTCAGAGCACCCTGATATACATATTATTTTAAGAAAAACAATTCAATCTTAAATAAAGTTAAGATTAATTTTGGATTTTTTCTATACAACTTTTTAATATGGCTAGATTTTAAATGACTTTCTTTGAGTCTAATTATCAAAACATGACATTCAAACTGCAACATATCTTTATGTAGTCCCAATGGAAATGACCAAAGCCGAAATTTTTTTAACCAAACTTGCCTTCAATTGTAATTGTCTCCCTCCATGGCGCTTATGGGACTTTCATTACACAAATTCACGCCCATTTTAGTGCACGTATTTTTTTAATTTGTTTTCAATTAAGATGATGATACTTAAAAAAAAAATAAAAAATAAAAAATAGATAAAAAAATTCATGGAATTGAAATTTCAAAAACAATCTTCTTACATTAGCAAATTTCTAACTATTTAAGAACATTTTAGTTTTTATTATATATTGACTTTGATGAAAAGTACACTTATTTTATTAAAAATATAAACTATTCGAAAACACGTTCTTTAAATATCCCTACATAGAGATTATTTTGCTAGATGTTTATTTGTGCAAAATGTACATTCCATGAGTTGCATAGTTGTGAATCACTTTTCAATCAAATATTCAAGAGTTTTATCAAATATTGTTCTTAGAAGTTTTTATATATTTATTCTACTAGCTTCCATAATTATTTTTTTTTTTATTATTTTTTTGTGTTATTTTAAATTTAAATAAGTTCTTTTCTAACATCGAAGCCTATAATTTGAATCACAAAGTATTGTAGTACAATTTTCTATCCACCTTAAACCATCTAATCATTTTAGTGATTTTAAATTATTCAATCACATCATATGGTGCAGGAAAAAATTATTAAATGATCATCATCTAGTGTTTTCGTCAATCCCCTTAAACTAGGTGCCTAATACATTTTTCCTTAAAGCACGTGCCAATCCACGCATTGAGAGGCGGGTTGCAATAGTTGATGAAATGGACAACAGTAGTTAATATCCGAACACAAGTATAATTCTCAACAAAGCGCAATGCTTGAATTCTCACCAAAAAAAACACGATTCTCATAACAAAAGTACAAATCAACATATCATGGTAACAAGCGTATATTTTTTTAACTAGAAACACTAATCTACAAATTAAATTTGAAAGTTGTTAAGGAGTGATAATTTATATTGTTTTTATTTATTTATTTATTTTTTACTGATCATAAAAATCTAAATCTAATAATATTATGTTACCATCTCAACTCAAAAACTCGACAAAATATACAACTTGTCTTCACCCAGGGGTTTTGTATCATTTTTTATAGATTTAAATTAAATAGATGATGTAAGTTGTAACCAATTAATTAATTGAAGTATAAAATGCATAAATAATAATTAAAAAAATGAACATAATGGGCGACCAAATTAATGAAAACAATAATAATTGATATATAAATGGGCCACCGGCCAGCGTGTCCTCCATTTCCCTCCTGCTTCCGCACACCGAGGTGAAGCCGAACTTTGGATCCATCTCCTTTGTCTTTGATTTCCCGTGAAAGAAATTTGAATTGCGCAAAAAATAAAAATAAGGTCTCAAACACAAAATTGAAGATGAAAATGAGATGCAAACAAATATCTAGAAGAGAATAATAGTGCAAAGGTCCCATTTATAGAACATTCAGGACGGATCGGGCATCGATCAGCTGCCCTTCCAATCACGGGCACCCTTAAATTGATACGGGTCCACCAGTAAATTAAGTCATGATTTATTATTATTATTATTATTTTTTTTTTGGGCATAATGGCATGAAATGGCAAACTAATTAAAATACACCACGAAATAAATTATCTTATGTAGAATGACAAAAGCTAACCAAACTTGCCTTCCTTTGTAATTGTCTCCTCCATGGCGCGCTTATGGGACTTTCTCTACATAAATTCACGCCCATTTTGCGTGCACGTATTTTTAAATTCTGTTTATACTACTTTTATTTTAAATTGAAAATTTTCAAGGGATTGAAATTTAAAAATTAATCTTCTTACATTAGCAAATTTCTAAACTATTTAAGAACTTTTTGTTTTTATTATATATTAACTTGATGAAAAGTACACTTATTTTATTAAAAATATAAACTATTTGGAAACACGTTCTTTAAATATCCCTACATAAAAATTATTTTGCTAGATGCTTATTTGTTCAAAATGTACATTCCATGAGTAGTTGTGAATCATGAATCAATTTTCAATCAAATATACAAGAGTTCTTTCAAATATTGTTCTTATAAATTTTTATATATTTATTCTACTAGTTTCTACAAAAAATTTTGTGTTCTTTCAAATTTTAAATAATGTCTATAACTATAAATAAGCTCTTTCCTAACCACAAACCCAATAATTGAATCACAAAGTATTGTTCAATCACATCATATAGTGCAGTTAAATCTGGAAAAAAAAAATTATTAAATGATCCTCATCATCGTCTAAACTAAATGTCCATAAATCTTTTCTTAAAGTATGTGTCAATCTACGCCTTGAGAAGCACATCGGACCACAATAGCTGATGAAATTGACAACAGTAATCCAACAATCACACAGTATCCGATAAAATAGGAACAGAAGTACAATTCTCAACAAAATATATCAGAATAACACAATTCTCAACAAACGTAGCTTCAGTGACCTCAGCAAAACGCAATGTCAATGACTCGAATTCTCACAAAAGGTATAATTCTCAACAAAATGCAGCGTATATAATGCATGGGTAACAAACGTATATTTTTTTACCTAGAAATTGTAATCTACCATATATAATACTTTAACTTAAAAAAATATCATAATGGGTGACTATATTAATAAAAACAATAATAATTGAGACAATAGTGCAGCTTCAAACTATTATCACCAAGTGAGAGAGAGTGTCTCACCCGAGCAACAATGCCAAACTTTTCCAACTTTTGAACTGAATCATCCACATCAAAGTTACAGCACTCACCAAACTCTTCTTGAATTAGTTCCTCACACCGCAGGTCAAGGTCCTATTTCAGATTATCTCAAAAATCAAAGACCAGTAATTCCGAAACAATTATATCCAATATGATGTAGGAATCAAGAAAACAATGACTGAAAATGGGGAAAAGGTAAAGTGATGCATACCTGTAGCGTAGCTTTGCCCTGTTCCATCAATATAAAGAATGAAATAATTACCTCACACGAAGACTCTCTCCTGAGAGTCTGAGACTACGTCTCTCTCTCTCTCTCTCTCATAAACGCCAACTATTAGAAACCCCGTTGCAATAGGAAAAGGGGATGGGGTAATTTCTAACAGCATCCATTGAGGTTGATGGACTTTTGATTGACTATCAATTAAGCCTTATGAATCATAATCTAGCAATTCCTTAAATGATTAACACAATCACTGGAATCTATTAACCTAATGGAGGTGGAAGTTTAACCTTAATTCTGCTTTATAGTTTATACTGCAGTGAACGTATTTGTTAGCAAATATGATAGTCTAATAGTCAAGAATAATGGGATGTGACTTACCTTCTTAGCCAAGGTATTATAGACTAAAATTATGAAATGTAACTTTATTTATGCATATGTCTAGGTTAGAATTAGCAAAATCTGCAGTGATTATATTTAGTTCTCTTTCTTGTAATATTAATATTAACATGTGTTTTTTTAGTACATAAATACCATAGGTTGGAAAGAGTGATTATTCTCAACAAAACGCGGTGTTAGTGACTCAAATTCTTAAAAAAAAAAAAAAAAACAATTCTCAACAAAACGCAACGGCAGTGACTCAGATTCTCACAAAAATTACCATTCTCAACAAAACGCAGGGCCAGTGACTCGGATTCTCACAAAAAAAAAAAACACAATTCTCAATTAAATGCAATGCCCATGACTCGAATTCTCGTAACAAAAGCACAAATCAATTAATAAAGTATAATGCATGGGTAACAAGCGTATATATTTTTTTTAACTAGAAATACTAATCTACAATATATAATACTTTGTGATGTACTCAAAAATAATAAACGTAACTTAAAAAAATTATCCTAGAAGAAATTTTTAATTTCACTATTTATAAAAATTAAAACTGAATGTTGTTAAGGAGTGATAATTCATATTGTTTTTATACTGATCATAAAAATCTCAATTTAATAATATTATGTTACCATCTAACTCTAAAACTTGACACAAATAACAACTTTTTTAAACCATTTAATAAGTCCATTTAATAAGTGGGTTTTTATCATATTTTATAGATTTAAATTAAATAGATGATGTAAGTTGTAACACATTAATTAATTAAAGGATAAAATACACATATAATAATAAAAAAAATAACATAATGGGTGACTAAATTAATGAAAACAATAATAATTGGGACAATACAAATTTAATAAGTGGATTTTTATCATATTTTATAGATTTAAATTAAATAGATGACGTAAGTTGTAACACATTAATTAATTAAAGGATAAAATACACATATAATAATAAAAAAATAACATAATGGGTGACTAAATTAATGAAAACAATAATAATTGGGACAATACAAAAGAGAGTGACGAGTGAGGTGGGGCTTCTTTTGGCGGCAGCTCAAAAAAGTCACCTTTGTTAATCATATTTTATCCTTGAAAAAAAAAAAAATCATATTTTATCCAATAGTATTTGCCTCTTTTCTTTTAGTACATCGTAATGGGTGTCACAAGTTGATATCATTTTTTCTCTCTTTTTATATTTTATTCTCTAATTTATTACCCAGGAAAGGAAAATGACTGACGCACGCCTTTCGGCTATTACAACTCCTCGCCTGTATTTCTTTCGTTGGAGTTAAGTCATATAAAATGGAGGAAGAATATGAAAATAATAAATTTAAGTTATAAATAATGAGAATTTAATTCAGAGTGTGCACGAAGCGTAAGAGTATGAACACACTCGGAGCGACACACATTAAGAAAGATTGTGTAATGTAGGTTTGAAGAGAATTAATACCAAAAGTTTTAATTATTTGATAAAATAAAAATAAAAATTAAAGGGAAAAGAAGAGAAGGTGAAAGCAAGGAGAGAAGAAACCGTCCGGACCAGCCCAGCGTTTTTTCATCTCTCTAAGATTGGGTGGAAGAGTTGAGGAAAACAAATAAAAATTGCTCCAAAAATATGAAATAATATTTTCTCCCTTCAATTATTCATAGAATTACTCTGTTAAAATATACTTTATAATTTTCTATCATTCATTCTATTCAACCAAACAATAAGTGAACGAGAAAACATTATTTTTCAAACAATACCTCATATGATTATAACCTTATATCTTCCATTCATTTTTTAATCACTCATATCGAATTGGAGCATTATGATGCTCCAGTCATATCTCCCTTCTACAACGTCGGCAAAATTTGACTAAAAAGGGATGAAACCGACTCTTATAGCCAAGATCCATAAAGAAAATAGAAGAAGAAAGGGAGAGGTATATTTGTCCAAAATATCTCCTGCGAAACCTTATCGATTTCAAAAAATCTTAAAAAATTTCAAAATCAAAATATCTCAGAAAATAATAATGTTGTAACGCTCTCAAAATAAAATATGATGTCCAATGTGTTCCAAATGAAATATATATGTCCAATATATCTCACAAATAATAAATGTAAATTGTTGAAAAAAGAATAACAAATGACCCGAAATCCGAAAATGTTGAAAAAAAAAATGAAAAAAATAAAAAAAATAGACAAGTCCTCATATCAATATTAAATTTCTGAACACTTTTTTTTTTTAAAGATAAATAAATTTTATAAAACCAAGAGAATTACAAGCTAGGAAGTTAGCCTAGCGTCACGAAGTGATTCCTAATGACGCCAGGAGTATGGAAGACACGCATGCTGGTTGGCAAAGAGCAAAGTTTGACTGGGAATGGTTCCACGGAAGGGGCGTGCAGGACCACGGGATGGTACCTCTTTAGAATTTAGGCAGGTCGACTCGGTTGAGTGCGAGGTGCTTGTCGCTGGTCGTGGACTTGACTATGAAGAAGGGAGTTGGCCATCCCTGCACAAATTGGTCGGGAGCTGGAGCCGTTCCCCTAATAAGACCAAGGCAGGTCGAAACCAGTCAGCATGTATCCTTGGGAAGGCAGGTCATGGTAGCTGACCAGGGCGCTTGCGCGAGCTGAAGCAATGTCTTGGTGCCGCATGGGCCGTGCCGCTACTCCAATTCTCTAGGCCCGTGACAAATGGTTTCAGAATAGGACTTGGGGTAAAGCACAGTGGGGTGCCCCCTTGTCGATCCGAGAGGGGTCTGAGAATGAAGACAGTGCACTGAAGTTGCGTCGATGAGGAGGAATCAATGCAGTTGGGGGGAGAGCCTCCATCTCCCCAGGAAGAGGCGTTCGTTGCAGTTGCGCACTGGAGGGCAGGAGGATCGCGAGCACCAAAGTTAATGCGAGCTCCTTGGGTGATGCAAACCATGGTGAAGGGCGGGCATCAAGTCGACAGGAGGCCCTTGTTTGCTCGGGATGTCACGGAGGCGGCATGATGGAGAAGAATCACGTCCTTAAGTAGTGGATGTCCCCTTGGTCCGAGGCCTATCATTAGGCGAGTACAGTGTAGGGAGCTGCACAAGGAAGCGATGGTAGGAAGGCGAGCTTACCGCTTGGAGGCAGACTTTGGAAGGGAATGGACGCAGTAGTGAAGCGCCGTATTGCGACGAGGGCGTCGCAGGATTTGGGTGGGAGAGAATGTCACAAAGTGATTCCTAATGATGCCCAGGAGTATGGAAGACACGCATGCTAGTTAGCAAAGAGCAGAGTTTGATTGGAAATGGTTCCAGGGAAAGGGCGTGCAGGACCACAGGATGGTACCTCTTCAGAATTCAGCCAGGTCGACTCGGTTGAGTGCGAGGTGTTTGTCACTAATCATGAACTTGACTATGAAGAAGGGAGTTGGTCATCCCTGCACAAACTGGTCGGGAGCTGGAGCCGTTCCCCTGATGAGACCAAGGCAGGTCGAAACCAGTCAGCATATATCTTTGGGAGTGCAGATCGTGGTGGCTGACCAGGGCGCTTGCGCGAGCTGAAGCAACGCCTTGGTGCCGCACGGGCCGTTCCGCTGCACTAAATCTCTAGGCCTGTGACACTAAGCTAACCAAACATTACAAGCCCAAAGTATAAGGACTCCACAAAGGCAACCCATACAAGAGCAGCATAAAATAAAAAGTTGCCCAAAGCTGGACACAACACACAACAGTGAGCATGGAGACTGATTCTCGCCCTTCAAGATTTAGTTGCTGTCAAGAGGCTTTGCCGGTGGTCGGATAACAAAAGCTGGGAGTTCCCATTCTTCAATAATATGCCTGGAGCTTAGGGAATTTGTGAGTTGAGATGACAATAGCTTTTGTCTAATTGTGTCTAATACTTGTTGCTGAAGTGCATTTTGGGACAAGAAATTCTTCTTGAAAATTCTCAATTTATGAACACTTCTTGCATTGTAAAAAAAAAAAAAAAAAAAAAAATTAAATTAAATTAAATTTATTAATTGATTAGAGTTTAATTATATATATATTTAACTTAAACTTCTGTATTGATTAGAGTATAATTAAAAAGAAACCGTAAATGAGGAAGAGAGATATAAATCTTTGGGCTCAATACAGAAGGATAATGCCCATAAAATATATATTCATATATGCAATTATGCATACATTGACTGTCAATTTATTCATATTGAAAAAATGTACAATAATAGGTCCATCACCATCCATATTCAAATCCGGAGCAAAAGTACTTGCTCACTTGATTGGGACTAAGGACTACCGGCCTGTACGATCACATGGTACTCAAGAATCTGCAGAAAAGATGCCTCTGTTGCCTCTCTTTTTCAAAGAATTGGTGTCTACTTCGTGGGCTATTGCAGTCACATGTGCAATTAAAGACAAGGAAACAGGTTGCGCTCTTGGATAATATAACATATATCTCTCTCTCTCTCTCACACACACACACATTCATTTAGAATAGATGTGGATTGTGGAGGCATAATTGTTGTTACATAACAATTGGCAATTGAGATAGGACTAAGTTGTGGGATTTATATATAAATATGTATAGATATTACAGCAAGTTAAGGTTTACTAGGGTTATATATTTACTCTTCCAAGTGGTCTTATAAATTAGAAAGTTATAATTCAATTGACTTTATGGCAGCAAGTAGGCTTTTGGGTTGAAAGTTTTGGTCACCAACTCTGAAATAAAGTAAGAAAGTTTAAAGATGCATCATAATATTCCAAATGCTACATAATTAGTGAAAAATCAAGTTTACAAAATATAAGATATAGCCGGTACCCATTATATATATATATATATATATATATATATATCAGAAAATGAGTTCTCGGAACCATAAAAACAATGTTCTTGCCTAATAAACTAATATATATATACACACACACACACAAGGTTGATTACATTCAGGTTGTTTTTAAACTATGCTAAAATTCTATCCACAACCTAAAAATTCTATGACTCATCCAAACCAGAAGAAGCAGTGCATAGAATGGTGACACGCGGATCACAAATAATTGTTGTATGCATATTTTTTTAACTTTCTTTTTTGTTTATGTGCCTTTGATCCTAAGCATATTTTGAAACTTTGTGCATGCATATAAAATTAATTTTCTTTTTAGGTCGTCATATCTCGACTTTCTTTTCTTTATTACAAAAATATATTCGGTTATTGTTGTTGATGACCTGAGGTTCTTCAGTATGAGACACCCTAGACAGCCAGCTTCAATTTTTTAGTAGCAGAGGGTAATGTGGCAATAATTGAGCAATTTGTACAACAAACACATTATAAAAAGACACTTTATTTGATCTTTGTTGGCCAAATGTGTGACAGATAATCAAATTCAAAGGAGAGATCACACTGGTACCACATGCTCATCACATTTTTTATGAATAGTCTACAACTATATGTCTAGGTATAAAAAGAGAAGCACAAAGCTCTTATTTAGCATCACAAATTCGAGCATTCTGTCGAAAAAAAGAGAGCAAATATGGCTGGTTCTTCAAAAGCCAACAAATGCTACAACATTCGATCAATTACTTTGCCTTGCAGATCGCATCCTAGCACCCTTAGAATCGAAGAGGAGCTGAACAAGCTCAAAGCATGGGAGGCATCACCTATGCCAACCGCGGAGAATGTCTGCAATGGTCTGTCCGGACTTGAAGAGTTGTACAAATGTATGGATGATCTCTACAACTTGCCGATGACTCAACAAGCTCTCTCTCAGCACCAACATGAGAAATGGATCAATGAGTTGTTGGATGGATCGTTGAGGCTCTTAGATGTTTGTGGTACTACAAGAGATGCCGTGTCACAAATGAAGGAACATGTCAGAGACCTTCAATCCTCTCTTCAAAGGAGAAAGGGAGACTCGAGAACTGAAAGCAGAATAGTCAAATACAATTGCTTTAGAAAGAAGATGGAGAAGGATGCTAGAAAGTTGATTGCAGCGTTGAAGCGATTTGATAACAAAATTGAGGCCTCGCTGCTGTTAGATGTAGACCACGACACATCATCTGTGATCAGAGTGCTAAGGGAAGTTAGTGTGTTGAGTAGTTGTGTCTTTCAATCCCTTCTCTTGTTCCTTTCTGTGCCTATCTTGAAAGCAAAGCCAACAAAGTGGTCATTGGTTTCAAAAATGTTGCGCAATGGGAAAGTAGCATGCGAAGAGCAACAGGACATTGTCATCAATGAGTTGAAAAGCGTAGATGTTGCATTGCAGACCCTGCGCGGATCTAAGTCAAGTGAAGGAGACGACAACATTCAAATTGCACAAAGCAGCCTGGAGGCTTTGGGAGCTAGAATTGAAGGTGTGGAGAATGGTTTGGAGGGCATGTTTAGGCGGTTGATCAAAACAAGAGCCTCTCTCCTAAATATTGTCTCCCAATAATTTGATCTCGATAGAGTCTTTCATCCCCAAATCCTGCACAGGCATCAAAGTTTTTAGAGGGCATGCTTAAGGATTTCAGTTTTCAATTCAACAGCTATGTACATGAACCAACTATGTAGTTATATAAAAAATAGAATATAACTTTTAGTGTCAAAATAAATATATATTCTCTCTCTCTTTCCCCATTTTTGTTTCAACTGAAAATATAATGTTTTTCAATGCACATAAGCCCTTATGCTTCTGCATAATGTTGCAACATGGAGTAGAAATAATGTTACTAAAGAAATAATTGGAGAAATTTCAGTCCTGGCACAGGAAGATGGGAAATGACGTTACATCAATCGATTGGACTTAAACAAATTCATTGTACTTAGCTTTTATGTTGCATGATTCACGGAAATTTTATCCGTGATCTTATCTACATATCTCTGATCAAAGAGCTAACCGGAGAATGAAGAAGGGCGTCATAAATTTGATACCAAATGAATCTCCAGAGGTCTTTGACTGCACCCAAAAAAAAAAAAAAAAACACAATTTGTTTTAAAAAAATAATTTATTTACTTTTAACTTGTCAAATATCATATATTTGGTTAATAAATTGCAAAATAAATCTCTGAAAACCAATTTGTAATAACTATCAACCAACAAACCCTTTGGAGGCTATTACAATGTGGAGGTGAATGCAACTACAGAACATATTAGCTGTATTTCATGATAATATAATCATATGACTACATATTTGTTAGTTACATGGGGAGGCTGCAAAGCTCAAGGGAGACATCGCGACTGCATGTCACTCGTGCACACATATATAAATTATATCTCCATTATTTTGTCTTACCTACCAATAACAATTTACATCTTGCAATCAATCAATAATATGGTTCTTGTCCTCTATAGATCTCAATCTACAGAATGGCATATTTATATAAGTTTTCATCTTTTATCTAGGTTCTTCATCTCTAGACAACTTCACAATTCCAATTATTTCTTCTTCTTTATCTGAAAGGCAAAGAGCCTTAATGAATATGATTTAATGCAATTTATATATATATATATATATATATCTATATATTCTGTACTTGCTCTCCATGCTTTTTTTGTTCATGAGATGCATACACTCCAATCCACTGGTAAATTTTATTTCAATAATATATCTTTAAAAAGATTGGATTCTTATTGATAAGATGGTACAAACAATGACTGGGGAGGCTAAAAAAGCATACAAACTTTGGCCTGCAGCAAGAAAAGTAATCATGAAAAGTGTTCATGAGCAGAGGAATACTTTATGTTTGATTTATGCAACCTCAATGATTAGAATTTTAATAATCCAAGATAATAATGAATGGAAATACTAGTATAAATTTTCCTCAAATGAATTGTTTATGTATAGACATGTTCTTGTCGAATTATAGAGTCAGAGCCAATAATTCTTTCTGATCTAGAAATTTGCAGTAATACAAACAGACAGTGCTCATAAAATTAATATATGTTCATCTACGCATACAATGATTGTCAATTCATTCATGTTTAAAAATGTACAATGATAGGTCCATCTCCATCCATATTCCACTCATGGAACAAAAGTACCCGTTGATTGGGACAAAGGACTACCGGTCTGTATGATCACATGGTACCCAAGAATCTAGCAGAAAATACATCTGCTGCATAATATATGAATTTTTTTCTTTTTTTTTAAGAGACAAGCAAACAAGTTGCCCCTCTTGGTTAATACAATCTCTGTCTCTGTCTCTGTCTCTCTCCATTCAGGTAGAATAGATGGATGTGGAGGCATGATTGTTGGTACAAGTTCTGAGATTTCTAGGTATATATAATATGTAGTGATTACATCAAGTGAAGGTTATATGCATGTTTACTCTTCCAAGTGGGCTTTGGGTTAAAAGGTTTGGTCAGGAATTCAGAAATGAAGCAAGAAATCTTAAAGATCTGTCCTACTATTCCAAATGCTACATAATTGGTGAAAAATAAAGTTCATAAAATGTAAGATAATTGTTGCATCCATGACTCATCCAAACCAATTGAAGCGTCACTGCATAGAATGGTGACACGCGGATCAAAAATAATTCTTGCATGCATATTTTTTAACTTTCTTTTTTGTTTATGTGCCTTTGATCCTAAGCATATTCTGAAAATTTGTGCAAGCATATAAAATTAACTATCTTTTTTGATCGTCATATCTTTATTACATAAATATATTCTGTTGTTGTACGTTCTTGATGACCTGAGGTTGTTCAGAATGAGACACCATAAACAGGCCACGTCTACGGAGATGAAGCAGCTTCAATTTTTTAGTAGCAGCAGAGGGTAATGTGGCAGCAATGGAGCAATGCAGGGGAGTCAAAAAGGGAGGCGAGTCATTGGCAATTTGTACAACAGACATATAATAAAAAGACACTTCATACCTATTTCATTACCAAGGGGACTAAAGAAATAACACATTATTTGATCTTTGTTGGCCAAATGTGTGACAAGATAATCAAATTCAAAGGAGATCGAGCCCACACTGGCAGTCTGGCACCACATGCTCATCACTTTTTTATGAATAGTCTATAAGTATATGCCTAGGTATAAAAAGAGAAGCATACAGCCCTTAGTTGCATCACAAATTTTAGCATTCTGTGAAAAAGAAAAAAAAAAAATTAATAATAATAATAATAATAATAATAATAATAAAGAAAAAAAGAAAAAGAAAAAAAAAGAAGCAAATATGTCTAGTTCTTCAAAAGCCAACAAATGCTACCACGTCCGTTCAATTACTTTACCTTGCAGATCACATTCTAGCATTGTTAGAATTGAAGAAGAGCTGAACAAGCTCAAAGTATGGGAAGTATCATCTGTGCCAACTGCAGAGACAGTTTGCAATGGTCTATCCGGGCTTGAAGAGTTATACAATTGTGTTGATGATCTCTACAATTTGCCAATGACTCAAAAAGCTCTCTCTCAGCACCAACATGAGAAATGGTTCAATGAGTTGTTGGATTGATCTTCGAGACTGTAACGACCTGAACCCGTGGGTCCGAATCGCTAACTGGGTCCTTATCCGAACCCGAGGTCAACTAAGGACACTACCGTCCTTTCCTACGTCAATATATAATATACGAGTCATACCATGGTTTTAAAGAAATTAGAAGATAACAATAATAATGAAATGAAATCATAGTTACGAAATATGTCAAAACAGTCTACTAACCCATCAAACCCTGTGGAGAAGCGTCGTCCGCCACCTGCCATCCATGTCCTGAAAAATGTTAAAATGATGGGGTGAGCTAAACGCTCAGTAAGAAGTGTCTAAGACACACCTCTTATGACTCCGTGAATCCACATAGAGAATAGAAAGCAAGAGAACGGAATTATATCTCGGGGGTCAAGTAAAGTCACTGTATCATTAACAAACATACCTATCTCAACCCATTACCAAATGCACCACGTATGCCAATTATGTGCCATGCTATGCAATATCACTCCCCATTTCCTAAACCATACCGTTTCAACTTCCAAACCGTTAGTGTAATCCGACCCAAGGTACCTCCAAGGCGTCACGAAAGGGGGATTGGCTAACCATCCACGACCACAAGGCACCTCCAAGGCGTCGCATCCGGCCTGGTTAGCTCAATCACACAGGGTCTCTCCCTAGTCCCCTCTCTAGACCACACTAACACCACGGACCACTAGGCGCCTCCTATGCGTTCGGGTTTTCACAAACACTTTTCAAAAAACTTTTCCCTGAAACAATTTCATTGGTTTTAAAAAATATACTTTTCCCCTTTTTCTTTCCCAATGGATGCATAAATGCTTTATGATTTCAAATGCTAAATTCAACAACTATATTTTATACATTTTACCCATATCATAATCACAAACTTGTAAAAGATTATTTTAAATATTTATTTCTACGATCATGACATCAAATTTCCATGGCAATTGAAATATATAAAGTAAACAACTTGTCATTTCTAAGCATACTTCTTCACTACAAGGATGTAACTAAATTTACAAACTCATTTATCACATAGCATACATCCACCACTTTACATATAATCTACCACAATCACATAGTCAAAATAATTGAAATTAAACATGCTTATACTCAATTTAAGAAGGAAAATTCACATAGAACCTAAGAAATTATGAATTAGAGCACCCCTACCTCAAAAGTAACCAAAATATATCCCCAGCCAGAAAAGTCAACGCCGGTCAACGCGGTCAATGCCGGTCAACAAAAGTCAACGCCGGTCAACAAAAGTCAACGCCGGTCAACGGCGGCGGAACGGAAAAAATGTTTGGTGGGAATGTAGCCGTCAACGAGGTGATTCTACTATTCCAAAGGGTGAGCTTCGGAATCCGACTTCAAGTGGCTCAAAACCTCATTCGAAGCCTTAGATCGGAAAATTTTCAAAAATTCATAAAATAATCACCCCTCCTCCAAAAATTAAATCCTTTGACTATGTGATAGAGAACGATGAGAGGAACGTTTTCTATCAAGGAATCAAAATCAGAAACCCTACCGTTTGGCCGAAAAATGGAAGAGAATAATAAAGCTCAAAGAAAAAAGAAAAAGAAGACAGAGGGAGAGAGATATTGCGCCAGAGAGAGAGATAGAAAATGTCTACAAAATGACCATTGGTCAATATAATGACAAGTCAAAGTGGGGCCAATCAGAAAAATAAATAAAAAAGAAATATTATAGAGGCCCTTAGATATATGTGGTATTACAAGAGATGTCATGTCACAAATGAAGGAAAATGTAAAAGAGATTGAATCTTCTCTTTGAAAGAGAAAGAGAGACTCGAGCACTGAAAGCAGCATAGTCAAATACACTTGCTTTAGAAAGAAGATGGAGAAGAATGCTAGAAAGTTGATTGCAGCATTGAAGCAAGTTGATAAGAAAATTGAGGCCTCACTGCTCTTAGATCCAAGGCACAACGCATCATCTGTGATCAGAGTTCTAAGGGAAGTTAGTATATTGAGTAGTTGTATCTTTCAATCCCTTCTCTTGTTCTTGTCTGTGCCAATTTTGAAACCAAAGCCAA